GTCAACGGGGTGGAGTCCACTTACCTGTACGGACTACCCGTCACCAATGGGAGTGGCCACTGCAGTTGACTACTGTATTGATCGATCTGTGAAAATCCTTCCTGTAAAGCCCAGTCAATTTATCTCAGTTCCACATTTCGTGAAATTTACGTTCCATTCACCCCGCACCATCCGCCTTATACATGCATAAACATTTGACGTTTCACTCCTCTTGTATATTCACTCATCGATCCCACCATTTGACTTTGTTTGTTTATCTGACACATTCGTACCCTACTTGTTTTAATCGCTACCTGAGCGCTCATATTTGACTCGTTCGTGTGCAGCGTGACAGTGAGCGTGCTGTTCTTGTCCAGACTCATTTTCTTCCTTTCAGATTTATTGAATTATGCCCACAGTAACACTTGGCTGTTGTTTTCAAGTTGTTTCGAGATCACTTTGAGGTTTGTACATAGTTTATTTGTTTTTTCATCGTTTATTAATGCAATACCGTAGAAACTTGCTGGATGGTTCGTTTTCTTGTCGTTTTTGGATCCGATTTCGGCTACGCGTTACTCGTTGATCTATTCGGCACGCAAAACTACTCCAAATATTCAGGTTACTGCTTGCCACTTAAGGGTTGGATCGGGACCTATAGGCAATGTTTGCATTTATAGGGCTGAGGATAATTAACTAATGCAAACCATACAAAGGTGCTCAGTATCGCCCATATATTCCTCGTTGTTGGAGATCTAAACCTTCCTGAAATAGTTTGGGAAGAAGCATGAGCTCCAAGAGGAACTGCCGGATGGGCGCTAATGGAGTGGATCAATTCAAATGCACTTGTGCAGCATGTAATGGAACCCACTTGGTTCCGCTTAAACCAAAGGCCCGCAATCCTTGACCTAGCTTTATCTCGAGCAAGGTTAGATGTCGTTAGATTCACAATAGAGGTCCCCCTAGGCAGAATCGACAACGCGGTCCTTCAGTTAAAAGTACTGACGCAATACACTAAGCCAGGGATCAAAATAGTCCG